TTTTTGTGACTGAAGAGAACTTTGCAGACCCTGATCCTGGTCCAGCTCTGCAGCTCGGAGAGGTTTTCCTTCCACTCCTGCAGCAGGAGACCAGGAGGCCATATGCTCTGGAGAGCAATAACTTGAATTTGCTGCAACAAAGGAGTAATTGAGAAGGAAAGAAGGAGCTGTGAGTCCTGACTCGACAAAGCTGTGAAAACTCTTCTTTCAGCCTAATGAAGCTGTCGTCTGGGGGTGTGGTGGAGGCCGGGGCGGTGGGGGTGGAGGCCTGGGGTGGAGTGGGTGGGGAGGCTGAGCGGTGCTGGACGTGATTTGTCATACAATCTGAATCTTTAGGAGGGCCTGCAGCAGAGACACCTCCTCTCCATATGTCTGCTTCGTTTGCATCTGAAAGCTGCAGGGCTGAAGGATGGAGGAAGAGGAGGAGGAGGAAGGTGGGACTGGGTGGGGAGGAGGAGGATGCAGACTGTCTCTGATCAGGTTATTTGTTGTACTGGTGTTTCTAGAGCTTTCTGCAGGACGAAAATAGGCCTGTAACTGTAAATGTTTCACTTCAACAAGATTTTATTTTTTATTTTTTTACATGACGAGGTCAAAGTTTCACGTTTCAGTTAAAAAAACACAATCAGGTCTGTATTTCAGAGCAGAAAACGAGGCAGTTTGAGTCTTTAAATCCCAGAAACAAGGTCCAAAAACAAGATCAGATAAGAAAGTTAAACTGCAGAGGTGCTGAGCACCGATTCTGAGCCTGAAGCTTAAAATTAAAATAATCAAAACAACAGCTGGGAGCTCCAAAGGAACCCAATATATGCAGATGTTTATAATATTTGAAAAGTATTCCATTTGTTTTTATAGAGTTAATAATGTTGTTTGAAAATATGAAATCTCCAAAAGAACAGAACATTTTAATCAGTGCATGGTTAAAAAGTATGTTGAAGTACTGTATTTATAATAATTAAGGGTGTGAGCGTTATTTACAGCAGCAGTGTGGGGTGATTACTGCTACCTAGTGGCGATCATTTGAAACACCAGCTTCTAGAGCGAGTTCATCTGGTCTGAGGACAGAAATGTTCCCTTTAACGTCCCTGTTCCTGATGTTGCTATTGGTTTATTTAAGCAAGTGGCGGTCTGTGATCCACTGGTTCTGGTTCTGGCAACAACCACTGGTTCTGGTTCTGGCAACAACCACTGGTTCTGGCAACAAGCAGAAACAGGAAGTAAGGTTTGTGGTTAGAAGGCCAGCATGAAGAAGATGGGTTCTAAAAAAAAGTCCAGTTTCTGGATTTCAGTAGCGAAAAATGTCAGTCAGTCCGCACACCATCCATCCCTTTGTCCATCCATTCATCCATCCATCCGTCCGTCCATCCAATTTCAGCCACATGTTCATCCATCCATTCATCCTTGCCTCCTTCCATCCATCCATCCATCC